CGTGGGGTGGCTCTCCCCGGGCGATGGGGAGGGAGACATCCTTTATGTAAGCGGCCTTAATCCCCGGGCGCTTGTTTATACCCGAAGGAGACGCGAAATGCGACAGCATTTGAAACGGGTGTTTTTAATGAACGTTTTACAGAACTGTATTTTTAGCCACGTCGGCTCGTGTTATATAACAGGCCGTCTCGTGGGACACTCCAAATAGAACTCGCGGTAGCAGGAGGCGACAGAAGCTGGTGTCAGCTCTCTGCCCGCAAGGAGAGTCCGATGAGGGAGGTGCTGGCGCGGAGGGCACTGCCGCCCTTCCCTGAGGAGCCCGGCCCGGGGGGGCTGCACCTTCCCCCCCACACTCCACAGAGGTCAGACGTTTAGGGTTCCCCTCTCCTTCCCCGAGAGCGAAGCGTGGCACAGCCTGGGTTTTATTTCTTGAACAAGCACGTGATGGGTGCCTGTCTGCTGGGTGCCAGGCGAGCACTAAAAAAAACAGTGTCCTGCGTGGATAACCAGGGGACACGGAGAACCGAGAAAAAAAGGGGCGCCGGGCACATGAGGGGACAGCGGGGGAGCTTCGCAGAGGAGGTGACAGCTAAGACCTCAGCTGGCCAGGAAAGAGAGAGACTGTCGCATGTAGAAGGAACACGTGAAGGTTTAGAGGTGAAAACGTGGGTGTGACGGGCCACGTCCGGGCAGAGAGGCGATGGAAGGAAACCCGGCCGAGCCGTGTCAGGGTCGCCTGTGCGTGTGGGAGGCGCTGGCCCGTGACACTCGCCCTGTCCTTGCAGGGACGCTGGAGCCGCACTGGTCAGGGCTGCTGTGGACGGCAATGCTCGTCTCGCTGGCCATCGTCATCGCGCTCCCCAAGCCCCACGGCGTCCGCGCCCTGATCGCCTCCACGATCCTGCGGCTGATCTTCTCCGTGGGGCTGCAGCCCACGCTCTTTCTCCTGGGAGCCTTCAACGTGAGTGCAGACACCTTCAGAGCCGCTTCCCTGTTGATGTGGGACTGGGGACACCTTCCTCACCGGCCCCCGACCCTTGGCCTGTGGTTTGGGCGCAGAAAAGTATCGTTTGGGTCCACTGTTAAAACCGCGGGGCCGAGGCAGACCCCTCGCACGGCCCGTTGGCACAGCCGAGCTCTGCCTTAGGGAGTGATCCTCAGGCGTTCAGCAGGGAGGGCAGAGCAGCTGAGATCTAACTTAGCTTTGCCCAGCCGGTCACAGGTGTGCTGGTCACAGATTCTCGCCAATAAATCCAGGGATCAAATATGAACAGAGCGTCCGGTCCTGAGGCCGCAGCTGAGCGGGAGCGCGGGGCGGGGGATGGGAGCGGAGGGCCCGGGTGCTGCGGAGCTGGGACGGGTGCTCGGAGCAGGGTCCTTGGGGCGCCCTCCAGAGACACGGGGCTGAGAGGCAGGTGTCAGACCAGGAGCACTAGGAAGTGGGGACAGACGGGGCCCGTGGCCAGGACAGAGCTGCCGGGAGAAGCAGAGAACGCTGGGGCGCGGGTGGGAGGGAGGTGGCAGGAGCCTGGCGCGTCGGGGTCCCGGGAGGTCAGCCAGACCGTGGCCTTCTCTTTGCTGAAACCGAATCAACACAGTTCGTCGGATGGGCGACAGTCTCGGCTGCGGCGGCTCCCGCACCGGTGAAGGTCAGGGTACTAGACGCACCCGCGGGCAGGCCGGGCGTTCACCCGTCTGCGGGCGGGACCTGAAAGCTTTCCCCCCAGCCTCCCCGAGCCAGGTGTGTCTGTCAGCTGCTAGAGACAGGCTTCTGGGTGGTTTCCACCCAAGGCGGGACTGTCACACAGTAGGTCAGCCTTCAGAGCAGGTGTCAGAACCCAATCCACCGTGTAAGCGGAGAAAATACTGGTTCAGGAGGCCGAGGCTCGAAAGCCTGGCTTTGGGTGTTGCCGCCGACCGAGGGGGCAGGAGTGGCAGGGCCCAGGGGCTGGCGCTGGCGGCTCTCGGGGGCTCCAGGGTGCGGCCGCTCCGAGCTCACGGCCGCTCAGGTTCAAGGTCGCGGAAGGAACACAACTGTCCCTTGCTGCAGTCCCAGGACGGACCCCAGGAGGGTCACCGGCTCCATTCGGCCCTGTGCCTGTCCCTGGGCCAGTCGTTACTGCCGGGGGTGGCAGGGGTAATACTCGGACCGGCCGGGATGGAGCCGCCCCTCCCCCGGCCGCAGGGACAGGGCTGTGTCCCCCGAGGAGGCAGGAAAGAAAACTCGCCCTGCTTTTCTTTCCCCGAGAAAACTCCCACTTTCCCTGTGGAAGTGGGAGCAGCAGGGACAGGAGCTGCCGGCTGCTTGTTACACGCGCCCCGCCCTGCCCCGGACGTAACATTCGGAAAACGCTTCCATCTGCCGCTCGCGGGGCCGGTGGGTCGGGTGGCGCCCGCGTCCGACCGACCGTGAGGATGTCGGAAATGACTCACGTCTCGTTTTGAGCATGATTTCAGTGTGCGTTTGTTTTGTCACATACGAGCGCCACTTGGCTCCCGTGGCCCTGGGGTCGTTGGGTGCGTCCCCTGGGATGTGCCTAAAAAGCAGCCGCAGGTGACGTGGGTCCGCAGGGCGGCTCTGGGTGGGTTTGCTGGGCCCTCGGTGCAAAGGAAGCTTCGGGTTGGACGCAGCCGCTGACCTGCGTCCGCGTGACCACGCCCGCGCTCACGTGGCCGACCCTGTGGTTGCTCCCAGGTCTGCAATAAGATCATCTTTCTGATGAGCTTCGTGGGCAACTGCGGCACCTTCACCCGGGGCTACCGTGCCATGGTCCTGGACGTCGAGTTCCTCTACCACCTGCTGTACCTGCTGATCTGCGCCATGGGGCTCTTTGTCCACGAGTTCTTCTACAGCCTGCTGGTGAGTGCCCACTGCGCGGTGTCACACGTGGAAAGCCGGGAGCGTGTCCCGTGTCCCCCTCGTCGCAGACCCTGCTTTCGGCGGCGAC